GCTGCCCTCCGGAGTTCCATGTCGGGCTGAGCAGCATCGCTGAGCTGCACCAAGAGCCCAGCCTTGCCCAGCAAATCCGGGAGATGCTAAAACAAACCACCAGGAGCCGTTAGGAATCAGAGCTCTTCCCTCAGCCTCCTGCTTCTTCTGTTTGGTAGCTAAAGATATCTATGCTACCAAAAAAAGAGCTGTCAGCTGCAGATCCAGATCCCACAGACAGATTATGTTTAGACAAAAATTACATGAAAATATAAATTTCCAAAGTTCTCCTATTTTGTATTGAAAATTACTGAGTGTGAGCACAGTTGAGGCTGAGTCCCAGTTTATGCTTTCTTCCCAGACACAAAGCTAAGTTAGTAACAACTGCTGTACCAAATGGCTGCAGTTATATAGGCTACAAACCCACGCAAGCTGGCAGCTCCAAAACTGCTACCATCACCTCCCCGTGCTTCAGCCCAGCAGCAGAAACTGCTCTGCACGCTGCCAAGAGCTGGTGACGGCAGGATTCAACATACCAAGCACCATCAGTCACACTGCAGCAACAAGGAGCTTCATGCAGACCTCAAGACTGATACCTGATAGGCTCCGCTTTGGAAAGGCTTTGAGCCCACTGATCTGGTTACTGGGTAAATTTCAGGCTCCTCAATGGAGACTGCTGAGTAACGTGCAATTTGAAGCTCCCCGTGTTCTTCCTGCCCAGTACACAGGTATACCAGGGTGGTCAGACTGCAGCCTAAGCCTGGTGCACTTCTTCAATAGACTGCCTTTGGCTCAAGCCAGGTATGAGGTGGTCCCTATAGCTGCAGCCTGCAGATATAGAGGTATTTGGCATGGGAAGGATCTTGTTATATCCTTATTATTAGCATATACACCTACCACACCTGAAATTCAACTTCCATCAGTCACTATTTAAATGATACCTAATCTTAACATGAAGATAAGGCAATTTGAGAACATGATAGTTTTCTATTCTTTCTTTTAGGGAAAAAATAAATAAAAGTAGAAATGGGGTGCTTGCAAACTCACTTTCTGACATTTAGGTCCATTATTGTAGACAAGAGCTGCCAAGGCTTGCACAATTTCCACATGTGTCCAAGAGCTGCACTGTTTAAGAGCCGAGATGCAATAGGAGAGAAGGAAGTTCAAGTTCTGTTCATCAACCAGCACCTGTTGGAACAGAGAAGGTCAAGAAAACATCATTATGTACTGCTGGAGCTAATATACTGTGTGTATTAACTAGTATATTAGTACATACTAATATACTCAGATACACTGGTTACAGACTTGGGTGATCTGGCTGTTAAAACTACAGAGCATCACAGAATCAGCCAACACAAACGGACAAACGGACAAACCAACACAAGTGTCCTGTAACCGGGATATTTTTGATGGTGTATCATGTTTGACAGAGCTGTTTTTACATGGGGAACCAAGCTAGAGCCACAGATCAGAACCTCAGCTAAGAGTAAACATGCAATACAGGGGAAAATCCAAGTAACTCTGCATGTAGGTTGGCTCCACAGCACTGTAAGAAGGCAGGAGGTCTCCCTGGGAGGCAGCACACAAGGAAAGGAGGGACAAGGCCAAACTTTCCATACCTGAAACCTGTTAAGTAAGTGATGGATAAGCTGACAGACTTTGCTGACAAGATGTTCCTGATCAAGGTGAACCAGCTGACAGGCTTGGACAAGCAGAGCACAGACATCCTGGAAAACAAAGCCTCAGTTTATTACTTAGAGACTACAAAGCCAGGGCGGAAACCACATCGTCAGCTGAGGCTCTGCCTGCACAACCAGATCTGCGTGTGGGTACCACTGGAATCAATACACAGGGATAATGAAATGAATGAAACTCCAGATAGTGAGCTTCCCTTCCCCTCATTCACCACCAGGCCTTCATCCCTGTGCAGGGGGATGCTGACACAGGACTCATATTGCAATAGTACTGCTCAAACAACACAGCTTAGGCACTGGAGTTAAATCCAAGCCGATAATAGTAGCAAAAGAAGTATCTAGAGTTAGATCAAGACACGGAAGGGGCAGGGGGAGACCACTCTCCAAAGAAATAAATTCCAAAGTGCAAAGTAATCCTAGTCTGGAAATAAAATGAAGAAAAGCGGGTAAATCAGCAGTGCTTATGGAGCAGTAACGAAGTACAGTGTGCTCCAAACAAAGCAGTGTCAATACTGTGTACCTACAGCACTCAGCATTGAACGGCTCACTTTAAACTTGACATGTTTTATCGTCTGAATACCAGACTATGATATCACTCAGTCCTTTGCCCGTTACTTACTCCTGCTGCCTACAGACCCATCACTGCGCGCTCACCAGCATCTCCCACCGTGCCCACCCTCCATCCCCACCACCGCTCCCCCCCACGCCGGCAGCAGAGCTCACAAGCGCCTGCGGAGGCAGGGGAGGGAACCCGGGTGGAGGCAGAGGGGGTCCACGGTCCTGGGCAAGGGGGGAGAGCGGAGGAGGCGCTGGAGAACCCCGCGATGGCCCCGCTCCCACCACGCGGTACCTGCGGGCTGGGCCCGGCCGCCGGCGCCGTGCCGCAGCTCTCGGAGATGAGCTGGTCGAAGAGCAGGTGGAGCTCGGTGCGGCGGCTGCTGTCGGGCCGCTCCGCGCCGGGCCCGGGCCGCAGGGCCCCCAGGCGAGCCAGGTACCGGCGGACGGAGCCGCCCAGCTCCGGCTCCGGCTCCTCGGCCACGGCCGCCGCCATCTTCCGCCTTCCCGCCGGCGGCGCTATGGCAACGCGGAGCACTTCCGGGGCGGGCGGGAGCAGCAGGAGGGGCCTAGGGGCCGGGTGTCACCTTCACTGCAGTGACACCATCGCGGCGGTGTCACCCTCACCGCAGTGACACCATCGCGGCGGTGTCAACCTCACTGCATCATCACCCTTGTGGCTGTGTCACCTTCACTGCAGTGACACCATCGCGGCGGTGTCACCCTCACCACAGTGACACCGTCGTGGTCGTGTCACCCTCACCGCATTGACACCATCACAGCGGTGTCACCCTCACAGCATCGTCACCCTTGTGGCTGTGTCACCCTCACCGCATTGACACCATCACAGCAGTGTCACCCTCACAGCATCGTCACCCTTGTGGCTGTGTCACCCTCACTGCATTGACACCATCACAGCAGTGTCACCCTCACAGCATCGTCACCCTTGTGGCTGTGTCACCCTCACTGCATTGACACCATCACAGCAGTGTCACCATCACAGCATCGTCAGCCTTGTGGTTGTGTCACCCTCACAGCACTGGCACCATCATAGCAATGTCACCCTTACTGCAGCATCACCATCATGACACTGCCACCATCATAGCAACGTCACCTTCACAGCTGCACCACCATCATGGTACTGCCACCACCATGGCAATGTCACCCTCACAGCAGTGTTACCATCATGGCCATTCCACTCTCACATGGCGCTGAGCCCAGGGAGGAAGGGGAATTCACGATGATGGAGCAGCAGGACAAGCACAGGCACCTGCCCCAGGCAGTGACTGCACCTCTGGGCCCTGGGACTGGGTGCCATGGCCATGGGGAGCACCACAGCGGGTGGCACTGCCTGCCCACACCATGGCCACAACACCCAGAGCCATTGGGACTGTGGTTCAGTGCTCCCTGACTGGAGTAGGAGCCCTGAGAAGCCAAACACCGTGTTCCCCAAGGAGCTGTTTTGGGGGGGCTGTGCAGGCTTTAACCATCATGGACACTCAGTGTTTCTTTAAGAGCAACTGGAAGCGATGGATGTAACCTGGAATCAGAGCGCAGAGGAGGGCTGCTGAACTGTCACAGGCTGTTCCCGTCGCGCACCCGTCGCCCTGGCCCAGATCTGTCTGTACCTGGCTGAGGCACAGAGATGTAACAGATTTACAGCACTGGGGACACGAGGGACTGGTCGCTGGGAAGAGAAACACTCCTCCAGATAGGATCTGCACCTCACCTGGAATTCATTCCTTGCATCAGGTGAGCAGCAGCCTCCCGCCACTTCCTTGTGAACAGGATCCCAGGAGAGAAGCCAAGGGCTGAAAGGCCCCCGTTGATAAGGAAATGCACTTGATCGGGACCGAGCCAAGGCTGCTGCACGTGGACCGGCGCCAACACAGGGATCTGCATCAGCCAGGACGGAGCAGGAGAGCTGCAGGACCAGGGCATGGTGTCCTCTCCTTCCATGGCACAGGCAGGCAAAGCCAAGGTCTGGAACCTCACTCGAGAGGCTCTTACCCCTGGTTCACCTCACTTTACCTTCCCTTCATCTCCCTGTCATACTGAGCACCTCGAGTAGGAAAAGTACATGCTGTGCCACCAGCGCTGTGGCCTTGGCTTTCTTCTTTGCCCTGGGGCTGTCTGGTTCTAATTGCTGTGCTTCTTACCCTTACCATTCCATTTATTATTTGTTCCAACAGACCTCTGAGGCAGTCACAGCAAAACAAGTAGCAAAGAGACACCCTCAAGCGTGTTAATATTGTGCAAGGATGATTTTAGAGCGCTCTCTGCCATCTCAGCCCAGCCACTGCTCTGGGCAGTGCAGCTGCTTCATAGCCTCTAAGTGCTGTGGGAGGCAGCATCTGGGGACGGACTCAGGCAGGGCTGCGTTGGGATTGAAGTCTGAAAGCCAGGAATGTCAGCGTTGCCTTCCCAACTTCTCTATTTGGCACAAAATTCCACCAAACCCACACTTTGGGGGGTGTTCCTTTTGTTGCCGATTTATTTTGTGGTTTATTCTTTTTAGACCTTCTTAACACATATTTAAACTCTTCCTTTTTCCTTGTCCTGTTTTCAAAGCGGTGCTGCAATGTGTGTTCTGACAGCAGCTCCTGCTTTTGTGATGCCCTCAGAAATCCATGACTGAAAGCAGACTGACACTGCTCATGGGTTTAGAAACCAGCCCAGAGCTGGGTTTACAATCAGAGCTCAGATGCTGCGGGTCTAGGGAATTACTCCACTGCAGCTGGTGATGCTACACCAAGGTACATTTTATGTTTCCTCACCCTTCCAAACCCCCAGAGGAGAGCAAATGAGGTGGGGTATGAGGGAAAACAGCACAAATCCTCGACTGTTAAAACTCTGCTACTGTCATGCAAATACATCTGGTTCAGCAGCTCAGAAGCAGACTTCAAAGGACACAGAAGTCATTAGAATCACAGTTCAAAGAAGAAAAGTGAGCAGCTGGTCTGGGCCATCTGGTTGGGGACATAAAATGGGCTCTTTCTTCCCCAGTCAGTGTATGACATTCTCATTAATCGCAGGAGCATCTTAACATTAACCAAGATGATGCTGTTCAGAATGTAAGTCTTAATAAATCATCAAAACTGTTGTCTCAGCAAAGCTACAGTCCGGTCTGATCCTTCCTCCCAGCATGCCAGAATGGTGATTTTAAGTTGGTATTTTCAAAGCAAATTAGTGGGAATTGCATTCCTCAGGCTCCTTTGAAGGTCTCAGGGAGGAATGCGGTCAGGATTCCCCAGGCTGTGGAGGAATCACCTTCTCTATTGATTCCAGAAGCCACCTTTGGTTTAAAAACATATGGAGGAGGTGCCCTCACTTGGGCTGGTTCCATCCCACCAGTGGGATGGTGCTGGGATGGGGCTTAGGCCCAGGACACCCCCCAGCAGACATCTCAGCCAGGGCAAGTTCCAGCCCCAGTGGTGTGAACAGAAATCCCTGGTTTAGCTGCTCTGATCTCAAGGCCCTCAGGGGCTCCTGGAAGTTGATATCCCTGTTGAATACATGGATGACTTCCTTGAAATTCAGGCAGGTGGTTTGATAGTGCAGGGATGTGACAGCTGCCAGGGGGAAGCCAAACTGGACAGGAGCCACAATGGAGAGCTCAAGGGCATGGCAGATACCTGCTGATTTTGACAAAGTGATGATGACCTGGGAGCTGCTGCTGCTTCTCCTGCCTCCTCCTCGCCTTGCAGAGCTGTCAGCTCTGTCTCTTCCTGTAAAAGGCAAAATGGAGAGAGTTCATCTTCATGTTATTGCTCTAGGAGCATACCTGGCCCAAAACCTGCACGGGAATTGGGGGTTTTCAGCCCCAGGCTTTCCCAGACACCACTGTTTCCATCAATCATGCCTTTCCTGGTCTTTCCTTGGAAAAAGGGATGCTTGCAAATGTGTACATGCAGGCAATACATCCCTGGGACTGGGATTTACCTGCACCCTGCAGCAGCAGAGACTGGGACATGATTTGATAGTTGGGATAATTCCTCCCCCGTAATAAGGGCCATTGCAGCCAAGCCTGGTACAAGGACTTGGTTCCAAGATTTTGGGAACAATGCTACTGCCTTAATGCTCCTCTCCCGAGGGTTTATCCTCCCAGAGCTGGCGAAGCCGGGATGTTTCCATGTCTGCCTTGCCTGGGAGATGATGGGGACCCAGGGGACTGTGGTGAAGCCTGGCTGGTGTGAGCAGAGCCTGCAAACACCTCTACACAACACAGCACAGACTTGCTTTTGGAGTTTCCGACCTAAATCTGTTCTCGTTAGACCTTGATGAATTAACACAGAAAAGCTACCTGCCTGGGTCCACGAGGGATGAAGGAGCAGAGGCTACCATCAGTGCCGCTGGGCTGGATCCCAGGAAGCTCTGTGAGGAGCGAGGAACACAGGACCCGAAATCACAGCGACCTGCTGGGAGTTGGAACCACCAGCAACCTGCCAGGGATACACACCAAACATGAGCTAATCCCAACAAAAATAGGAGTGAAATCACAATTCAGATGCATAATTCATGTGCATAATTTTATCTCCGCTGGATATTCCCCAGGGATGTATTCTAGAAAATGCTTGCTTTCCCCTCCCCTCATCCTTCCAAAAGTGCCGTAGATGCAAATCACTGGAGGCAGTGAGGGGTAGGAGCTCTGCTGGGTTACTAAATCAATGCTAAATTTGTCTGAGTTTCTAGCCCATGCCTTGGCAAGTTATGCAGATTGAAGCTGTTGTAGAGACATGCAGGCTTGGAATAATCACAGGATTTTAATTGCTTTCATTGTGAACCCCAGCTCCTGATTGTATCCGCATGGAAAACCAACAGTTTGCACTTGCAACTGCTAAAAATGTTAAACAATAATGGCAATTAAGAGATAATTATAGTTACTCGGGAGCCCGGGTTGGAGTTAGGGCTCCAAGAAGAGATCCCAGCCGACCAGGAAGCGTTGCCCTGTTTACTGCAGACCTCAAGCTGCTCGTTCTGTGATGTGAGATCTGCCAGATTTAATTGCTTAATGATTTTCTGTAAAGCATTTAAGTCCCCGCTATCTTCAGCCAGCCCAGGCTCTGCCTGAACTGTACTCGTCAGTGCTGGAGGACAGTGGCAGTGTCAAAGCCCTGGCCCGGCACCCGATGCGTGCTGAGTCACCCAATGGGTTTCTCCTGCTAATTACAACACCGAAAAGGTCCTGGGACTCCTGGCCAGGGGGATGGCAGCACCCATGGGTGGGTCCCTGCCGAAGGAGGACACATAGGTGCTGTCCCTCCACAAACCATGGTTTCAAATGGAGCCTTCACAATGTGTGCCCAGGTTGAGCCCATCCAAGCTGACCCAAAGGCCACAGAGGAGCAGACACTTTTGGCCCGGGCATTTGGAACCCTTAAGAGAAATAAGGACTTTTAGAAGTGGATTTGAGAGGTTTTGTCCTTGCCGAAGCATTCTGGGCTTCCCTCAAGAACAAAAAGGCATTTCTTTCTTTCCAGAGCCATGTTCCAGGCCGGGTGCCAGCTGCCTGCATGCAGGCTGCAGCAGAGGCACGTCCCAGCTCCATGTCAGCCCTGGGTCCTTTCCTGCCAGAGCGGCCCCAGCACAACCACCAAGGAAACCCTGCGAGAAGGGCATGAGATTAAACCCCAAACCTGTAATCAAACCCTTGGTGCAAAGAGATCTGTGTAAGAAGGGATTTACATTCCTCTGACTCAGCTTCAGCAGCTAAAGCCTGGGTCACGCTGTGTGTACACCCTGGAGCTCATCCCTGCTGGCAAACCTTGGGGAAGTCCTTCCATCATGCCCGAGCAGCACCTCATGCTGCTCACCCCTCTGCTGCTCATCCTGGCTGGGGTAAGATGTGGAAAAGCCCTTCCCAATGGCCTCAGTGCAGTGGGGCACCCACGCAGGGGGTGCTCAGGCCAACGTGGTGGTGGGAGCACACATCCAGCTCTGCAGATTCCAGCCCCATCAGTGTGTAGGACTCCGTGGCCAGGGCTGCAGGAACAAAGGGTGGCTTTCACCGCACTCACCCTGCACAGGGACTGCTGTGGTGAATTCCTCGGATGCTTTTATGGGCTGCGACCAATGCACAGGGAGAGCGCAGCTCCCAGCAATCTCCTCCCCCTGAAAGCACTCCATTCACACCCGGGATGGAAGGAGGTGAAAGAAAAGGCCATGCATGTGTTTAAATGCAGGGGGGCCTTACTGCATGAATCTCTCCCCAAAAGCCTCCCTGTCCAGCAGGCCAGGGCACAGGCAGGCAGGGTCTGGGCAAGCAGCTGAGCTGCAGACAGGCTGCTCCGCAAGGGCCATAAATCAATGGAGATGTGTAAGCAAGGGAGGGAACAAAGGACATGGAGAGGTGCCATGGCCGCTGGCAGCCATGCCAGAGCATGGCATCTGAGGAAAGCCTCTGACCAAGCCTGCATGGGATGAGAGCTGTGGTTGAGATGGGATGAGAGCTCTGGAAACTGGGTTCTCCACCAGGCCACAGCAAGCTCTGTGCATTTGATCTCAGTCCCCAGCACTGGGACAGAAGTGGACGGTGAGGCCACTACAGCAGCCTGTGCCCACAGGCAGGAGGAAACAAGCTACACCAGGGCTGGATAGAACTGTTCCTCCAGCTTAACCCAAGGCTACATCCCCCTGAGAGCAAAGCAGTGCCTGGGGTTGCCCCTGCTCAGGCTGGGCAGCTCCCTTCTTACCCCCCTGTTCTGGGTGCTGAGACCACTGGTGCTCAGTGCAGAAGCAGGGTGCCTGCCTCCTAACAGCAGGGCTGCTGGAAGCACTGACCTGACAATAAGCAGTTATTTGTCTCGTTGGTAATGAGTTATTACTCAGCCTCAGTGAGACATTGCCTTAAGGGAGGAAGCATCTGATCATCTTTTAATAAACACAGTTGACTCCTGCAGCTCCTGTATCTATAAAGCACTCAGAGACACATGGCTTATGCATAGACACTGCTGCTATGAGTCACAGTCTGGGAAAGGGTGTTGGAATCATTGCTCAATAAATAGAACAAAGCAGGGAAACCTCGAGTGGGCAGGGATGGCACAGTCCTGCTTCCTTCCCCGCGTGCCACCGGCCTCCTAAGGACTTACCCGATGGAGACTTGAAAGTGAGATAAAAATCATTTCCATGTCTTCTCTCTTCATCTCAAATCTCCCACAAAAGCACGGAGAGAAGGATCCATCCCCTGGGTACCGCGTTAGGAGCAGCAGGCTCTGCTTCCGCGTGCTTGAGGCTGGATGGGAGGGAAGGAGAGCACTGACAGGCAGCCTGGGTGTTCCCACTGGAGCAGGGTGCAACGCCCGGTTCCTGTGCAGGACGCCCAGGGTGGGGAGGATGCTGCCATCACTTTCTCCCTTCCTGGAGTCCTAAGTAGTCATGGAGAAAGGGAAGAACATCGTGCCACAGGCGGAGCAAGGCTGGCTCTCCCTGCTAACACCTTCTCCTGGGGCGCTGCACCATGCTCCCTCCACAGAATGAATCCCAGATCATGGCTAGCAGTTACACACGTGGAGCACAGCTACCCACAAACAGCCTGCCTGCTCTCCAGGGCCACAAAGGCCACATCTGGAGGAAACATTCCATGTGAGGAACTGAATAACTTGGCTTGTACAACAGAAAGTAACGGGACACTCTCTCTAACCGCAAACCACAGTTACCCACAGCAAACACACATGCACATCTGCAGACGCTGCCCCGCACCCAGACCCCCACCCACAAGCACGTCAGGCTCCCCTGCAAGCATCTTCTGAACCTTGTAAAGCAAGGCAGCAACATGGACTGAGTTTACCCTTCAGTGGCATGTTGCCCAAGCACATCTGGAAGCAGTTTCTTTCCCAGGATACATACCTTCCAGCCAGTGCCCCACATCCAGATGTTTCCGAACACCTTCATGCCCCCGTTGAAACTGAGCAGCCATCCTGGGGATACCCTTGGCTCCTCCAGCACGGGAACAGTTAATGCTCATTGCAGGACACCTGCGCCTGGTGGAAACTGGAGACAGCAGAGCCCAGCAATGGAAAAAGCCAAAGCTAAAAGCTGTGTCCTGCAGCTGCTGGGGAGGCCGAAGGGCAGGCAGCAAGGACAGAGAGCCCCATGCTAACACCTCGCATCACCCTCAGCCATTCAGAGGGAAGCTCTGCACACCTTGGGGCAGTTTGTGTCTTCCAGAGCCCCAGGGCTATGCAAGGGATGGATTAGGGGGAAGGCTGAGTACACAGTGTCCACTGCAGGACTTAGGGCAGCTGAGCAGGGCTCGGTTTCACTGCCTAATTGCTAAGGGTGTGAGTTAGAGCTTCTCTTCCTGAGCCTGAAGCAGGACTCCCACTGCAGTGATGCATCCAAGGAAACACCAAACTCATTTTCTACTCACGTGCGTTAACTCTGTCCCTCAAGCCTGGGCAGGGCCTCCCCATCCCTCCAGAGCTGGATTTACAGCAGCACCACAGGCACTGGATTCATGGCTGGAAGGGGGGGCTTTCCACAGGCGGAACTGGGGCTGGGAAAGTTCCTCACCTCAGGTTTGGATGAGCCCTCCTATGCTGCAGCTGCACTGGCTTTGATTAAGAGCCCTCTGCACCAAGGGGACCCAACCATCCCACAAGGCTACAGAAGCTTTCCTGGAACTGCAGTGTTAACCCAGACCTAACCAGGCCAGACCGGCTTAAACCCTGCAACTACACTTCCAGCTAAAAGGCTGACTGGGACTAGTGAGGAAGGAGCATCATTCCCAGCTTCCCCAAAGGAGAAACCACCTCTGCTTTTCAGCACTGCCAGGCGTAGGTTATAGCAGATTGCCTGTGTGTAACAGCCACACTGCTGCCTGCTCAGGAGTTTTGGGTTCATCTCATTCTAGAGCTGCTTTGCATGAGTCATGGTTGTCTGCAGCTCAGCTTCCCCTCCTTTCTCATGCTGGTGTTACTGTCCCACAGCAGAGCTGTTACACTACAGCACTTGGCAGGCGCCCACAGCGTTTCCAAAATATCAGGAGGCCACAACCCCACATTTAGGTTGCATCAGGAGCAAGACAGCAAGCGGAGGGGGTTGTTTAAGGCCAAGCCCACAGTCCCTGCAGTGCTGGAGGCATTAAATATACATCAGCTTCAGGCAACCGGCAAGAGTTTTACATCTCACCTTTCTACTGAGCGCAGGGAGGAAGCCTGAAGGGGAATCCTGAAGGGGAAGCCTAATTCCTGCAAAGCAGAGAGACAGCTCAGAGTGTCCTGGAGCCAGGGCCCCAGCTGCTATAGCACCCCATTCGACTGGGGTCATTAAGAGACTCAGCCCAGAACCTGCACATCCAGGTTACTGGGTACAGCAGCATCCCATCAGGGCTGCCTGCAGGAGTCATACTCCCCTCAGTCCCACTGTCTGGAGCAGGGCTGGAGGTCAGCACCAGCAAAGATTGGCCACATGCACTCCCCAGGTTGAGGTTCTCCCTCTGCAGACATGTGTCCTTTGGGTCATTAGCACCTTCAAGGGCAAAGAACTCACTGCTCACACTCTGTGGACAAGTGCTGGCTTTGCTTGGGACAGCCGGTAATGAAGAAGAAACTAGAGGCTGTTTAAATGTGTCAATTCACCTTTAATGTTTGAAAAAAAAAGAAAAAATGGTATTTGAGCCATTGCAGTTATGAAGGGAACAGATTTTGCTCCACGAGAGACCGTGAACAGATTCACATCAGACTCATGCTTGGAAAAAACCAAACCCAAAACATTCTCCTTTCAGATCCAGAGTGGAGTTCTGAATAGACAAAGACCACACGAGTGCCCCAGGCAGCCCAAGGCACATTACCCCAGTGCAGACATTTCCATCAACGTGAAGTTATGACAGCTACATTCGTTCTAGTTACAACATTGTTCTATCGATATTACAAAATTAGGCATACTTTGGATTTTGCACAGAGACAAGAAGGACTTTTACTTCAGGAAGTCATCAACCTGGGTCATCAAGTCTTTCCACAACAAAGAGTCCCTTCACTCTGTTGTTTCCCCCCCCCAGCAATGACTTATTACCAACACAAAGATCATCTCAGTAACACAACTTAGGTGCAACCAGCCTAGTGATATTGTCTATGCATTAGTTAACAAGCCAATAGACCTGATGACAAGCACCAGGAATTTACTTGCCATCACAAAGCATTTCTCCACACCCAGATAAAAGAACTTCCTGCAGCATAATCCAAAAGTCAGTACATACTAAGACAACATCACTGCTGAACCTATTGGAGACCAAGACATTTGTCTGCCTTTGAAGCAGATGTCACATGAGTTTCCTTCACACAAACATCACATGTAAGTTTAACTTCTTGGTACTGTGCTTTAAGAACAAAAGCAGATATCAGAACATGGAGGACACTCCTCCAGAAATAGCTTATCAGCTACAGAAAATAAAGAAAGGAGACAGTGGCCACTTACAAGTCTTCCACATGACTAACTTGCTTTAAGGAGAGCATCGAGTTAAGGCAGTGTTGAGACAACTGGCTAAGAACATGCCAAATAGAGCTGTTGTCAGTAGTCACCAATTTGATATCCTACTCCATTGCGGGGACGGGCCATGTGGCTTTAGATCTCAGTATCAAGGTCTAAAGACTTCAGCCACAGGATGCCACTTTCTGCAGCAAGCAGCAGCTCAGGGGGATGGCTGTTGAAGTCTTCTAGACCAGGCTGAGTTGCTTACAAGTCTAGGTCAATGTTTCAGCAGCGCCAAAAATACAGTGATGGACACTGAAAGAGAACACCGAGGGTGCCAGCTGCAAGCCTGTTTATCACAGTCCAAGGTGGAGTTCAACTTGAGTGTGAAAGCCACGTAATCAAGAGCCCCACCAGCTTTCAGGGAAGGTCTAAGTACCTGCACTGAGGTTACTGGGAGAGCCAGCTCTCTACAGTCTGCAGGGTGGGTACAGAGGCTCACACTGGCTTTGCTCCTCTTTACAAGATTAACAGTCTAATAAAACTCAGTAAGGAAGTCAGGAACTTTTGGCCTGCCCAAAGAAGTTTTCCCAGCCTCAAAGAAGGAGTTACCACTGAGGGAGCTGCTGTGGAATAGTTTTATTTCTTCCCACGTAAAGGCCATTGTTTTAAGCATTTACAGGTTTCCTAGTGCAATACAACCAAAAAAAGCAGTAACAAAAAAATGCCGCCTTCTTCCCAGGCAACTAAACAGAAGTAGATTTTTACTGCAACATATACACATTAAATATAGTATACAGTCCATGCAGCGGCATAGCCATGTTAAAGGGAGTCGTGGCTTCAGCCATCAGTGCATTACAGTCCGAATTTCACTTGCTCCTACTTCCTATCCAGACTTGAAGAGAAGAATTGCAACCTGACCCAAGTAAAAATAGATGAAGTGCTTTGTCTCGTGTGTTACATAGCTGCCAAAGTTTCTGCCAACAATGCAGTGCCAAGTTGGGTTGTATTTCTTGTCAAATTCCTGAAGAAAGAGAAGAGAGGCATTAAGGCCAAGAAAGCCCACATGAAAATAGTTCTAAGCACAAATTCTTAGCTGGTTCTGTCCACTCACTATTGCCTCTCCTCCCACCTCCAGCATCTTTTGATTCCCCACTGCAAGACACTGTCATATTAAGCAACCAGACCTCTGCACTGGATAGTTCAAAGGATCAAACGCAAGCAAATCAGCTTCTGAGACTTGAAGCACCCATCAGCCCTGGCAGAACCAGCAGACACAAGAGCTCTCCTTGGTGCAGCCTATTCAAGCCCTGTGTGTAGGCTTGCTCAGGGGAATATTTCTCCTCTCCCATTCCAAACCCACTCACAAAAAATAAGGTTCTGGCATGTCTGTTCCAGCAAAACATTTGAGCTTAAAGGTCACCTAAAATAAGGAAGGAGAAGTCTGGCTTTTACTGTTGCGGTCTCTTCACATAAAGGAAAGAGAATGTACACTGAAAGCAAGCAGGCAAATTCACAGGCCAGGCAGCACACAAAAAACTGAGAGGTCCGAGGTGAGCAAGTTGAATGCTGGCTTAATAGTCCTCTATTTAGCAGCTAAGATGGGGTTAAAGACCATTTTCTTCCCTCTAGTTAATACCCAACTTCCAAGAACACCCTTTCCTCCACCAAGACAGAGCCAAAAGAACAGACTAAACGTTCAAGATTAAAGCCAGTGTTAGTCCTCAGACAGCAGCAAGACAGTTTGAGCTCTTTGCAGGTAACCTTTAAAGTAAGGAAAAGGCTTTCTTGCCAGGGCATGAAGGGCCATCAAATTGCTTTCCTCCTCCCAACACACTCACAGGAAATAAAGGCCAGCTTCTTTTCAGATGCCTTTTTTGTGTCACTCACTCACTTTACAGGCTGCATTGCCCCAAGCAGTTTGAGAGAAGTCTTGCCTCAAAGTGATCAGAGAGGTTAGGAGACACCTTTGAATCCTTTCTACTCAAGCTTAGATTACAAGCAAGGCTCAAAAGCCAGGTGCCAGGACTGCACTCTCTATGAAGTCACTTTCCTCCTTCAAAAGCTCTTTGCCTGACCATTCAAAGAAGTGGCTACAGAGAGAACTGACAGCTTCCCAGATGCCATCGAGCATGAGCTCCTGCACGTGGGAAGACACCTCTTCCCAAGCCAGGGCAGCTGCCTGCATGTTTTTAAAGCAGCACCTTGCACAGTCCCACCAGCCAACACAAGGCCCCATCCTCCTCCACACCACCCACCCCAGAGCCAGGAACACAGCGGGGAGAGCTGCACGTGCACAGCTGCCCACTTTGAGTGAATCAGTAATCCCACCCTGCACTGGTACTGTGAGTGAGGCAGCAGCATCTCTGGAGCAAGTCCTAAACAGAGACTGCAGCCAGCTCTTTCTAGGCTGGCAAATCCAGAGGGACAGCACTCAACATTGCTCAGAGCTTGCCAGAGCTCTGCCATAGCCCTCCTCTGACCTTGGAGGAGTCATTCCATCCTCTTGGGAACAGCAGTAAAAAAGCCAAGAAGAAAGCATCTTCTCCCTCCAAACACACACATATCAAACCTCAGACACTCAGGCTCACGACAGGCACACATACTTGAGACTTCCTGAAGCTCTTAGCAAGAGCAGCCCCCTCAGCCCGTAGTTACCTTCTTTATATATGCTGCAATGTCCTTTTCTATGTTGTACTTCTCCATTGCCTGTGTAGCACAGTCCACAGCATCTTGCTGCATGTCCTCAGACATGTCCGCATTCTTGATCACAGCCTTTCTGTCAGACATCGTGAACCTAAGACAGAACATAGAATCCTTTAATTCCTTCCCAAGACAGGAGAAGCTTCCTGTGCATCAGAGGTTGTCCTTTCTATGGCACACTGCGTCACAAGCAGATACTACAAGCCCCCCGTTACGACCAGGGTGAGTTTCACAGGGTAGCCTACAGTAGTCCCTTGTAGGCTAAGGTGCACCTTACAGCTGGAGCACTGTAGCACTGGCACTGTCTGGAGGTTAGATCAAAGATAGCCCAACATCAACACCTGCATTAAATTCATGCAGGAAAAGCTTACTGTGTGGGAGGAGACGGGATCTGCAGAGAGCCAGAACCCTCCTATAGATCAGTAGGCTAAAGCCAAGTTTGCCTTCCAGGAGCACCAGCAGTTTGGAGCATCATCTGTTCAGAGCCTTGCAAGATCCCAGACTGCCCATCACCAACAGGGAGGCTCAGGAAGCATACGTTAGCAGCAGTGCTTTTACGCACCACCACCATCCCAGGTGTTATAGTTACCACTGCTAGTTTAGCCTGGAAGGAGTGCTGTTGTTCCACATTCAGCCTATCATCATTCCCTCAACCTCACTGCTGCTTTGCCAGGGAAACCCAGACTTCAGCTGCTCCCATGGGACAAAGCTGGTCTGACAAGCCAGAAACAGGTTAACACCATGCTGCAGCCTAGAAAGAGGGGCAGGGGAAGCAAGCCCCACCACAGAGCTAGCACAGCCAGGGCCTGGCAAAGGGCCTCCTTTTTGCCCTCCCACCTGAGAGCCACACCACAGATGCTAGATACCAGCATGCCAGTGCTAGTAAAACTCAAAAGCTGTACACTACAGCTGAGCATGCAGCCCCCTTCGGTCTGTGTTAGTTCAGGTGCATCACACCAGTTCCTGAAGCCACTTGCACATAGATCTGCCATGGCCTTCCCAGGGAGACATGGAGCACTGGGAAACTTCCAGTGCAGTCAGTATTATTGCAGAAAACAGAAACTGGGCAATCCCAGCCCTGCAGCCTTTCTTCAAGCAAAGGCCACACACTTGCCCTGTGGAAGGAGGCCTGTGCAGTCCTGCCTCCAACAGACCCCTGGCTCCCCCAGCCACACAACGCCCAGTCAGGAGGCACATGTTTTATCTGGGGGACTGGTCAAGCAAAGGTCTTCACCAAGAAGGACCACAGCTGCTCACCCTGACAGCAGGTCTTGCCAGAGCATGTTAAAACTGTGGGAATAAGCTCCCTAATGACAAGGAGTACCTCCAATTAAGCCTGCAAAGCACCATTAAGTTTCCTAAGTCTTTTTACAGTGCTCTAAGTCTTGAATGATACTACCAAGCATGTTTTGAAATAGTGAAACTACACATTTTTAGCTCTACTGGGGAGTGAAGAAAATCTGCTGCAATGATCACTTCCTGGAATAGTCCCAGAAAACTGAAGGAGTAGCTTTGTTACAGCAATTAAAGGAGCCTGCTATCCAGAGAGCAAGAGAATCCACTTACATAATTGTAACCCTATGATTACAATACTTCAATTCTTCACCCTGCCTGCAGTTGAACGCTTCTATTGCAACCTTAATTTATACAGTTTAGATACAATGTTTAATAGAGCACTGTTATTAACATACGCTAATAGCATCAGGAGGAATGACAGGAACTGAGCTCAAATGCCAACAGAGAGCACACGCCCCTACCACAGCTCTGGAAAAGCCACTTCCAGGCAGGTTGCTCCCCTCCATGCTGTGGTTTAAGCTGGGGGCCAAAAACCCCAGCAGGACAAGACACAGCTCACAACAGCCCAACCAACCGCCTGTAGATTTGGATTCACTATCCAGGAATGTGGCAATCTCTTGGAAAAAGTCTTCTGGGGGGTCAGCCCACAGGAAAAGGGAAGTAGCAGAAATTCACTCGTGGGTCATTCTTCCAGGAAAGCTTCTTTAGGGGAAGAAGAGAGGCAAGCTCTCGCACACATCAAGCCTTCACACACCTCTGCTACACGCCGAGTTCAGAGGGCCATTACATAACCAGCCACGGAGTGACCTGCAAAAAGCATCTCCCTTCCTCATTGTTTAGGCAAGGAGCATCTCAGTGCAGGCCCGTACTGCCAAGGGCCAACAGCGCCATAGAAAAGGAGAACGATTCTCCTTCAGCAGAGTTGCAAGTGCTGCCCTCCCCACACCACCACACTGCTCCAGGGCACAGCATCCTCCACAGGCCAACCCACAGCAGGGGCTTGCAGCTGACAGCACTGCAGCAGAGAGGGTCCCCTGTACCCATTGTTGGGCAGGGAGCAGCTCCAAGAGTCACCCCATTCCACCCCCCTGCACAACACAGGGCAGGGCCCCAGTCCCAACTCATTATCCCACGGGATTAGAGGCATCCTCCCCACAAGCATCCCAGCACCACCACATACACCTCTTTTCCCTAAGCCACAAGATCATGGCTAGCCCTCAGGGCCTCACCACATGAGTGTGGCCCTCTCGGACAACAACCACAAGGCCTCTACATCCAGCCCAGGACAGGACAAGGTTGGGAGGGGGAACAGAACTGCTCCAGCAGCCACCCCCTCCCCAGTGCAGGGCAGGATGCAGTCTTGAGGAAGAAAAGGCCACAGCCCCAGCAGCCACTCCAGAGCAGGACGAAGTCCTGGGGTGGGGGGTGAGGCCCAACCCTTCCCTCACCAGGGCAAGATGAGCTCTTAGAAAGAGTGTAAGAGGCAAGTCCAGCATCCAACCACTCCCCCAGCAGGACAGTGATGGGACTTTGAGAGCTAAATGATGCTCAAGATCAGCACCCGCTCCTTCCCTCAGCAGGACAAGATGCAGCTTTGGAAACGAGGTGAGACACAAGCTCCCACACGCACTCTTTCCCCCACTGGGCAGGGCAAGGCCCAGGCCCAGCACCCATCACTTCCCCACCAGGACAGCACGGAGCCCGAAGGTGGCGACGAGGCCCAAGCCCAGCACCTACCATTTCCTCAATCACGACCCTAGGAAAGGGGTGCGGCACAGCCCTTTCCCCACACGGCACAAGGGGGCCCGGGGACGCGCTCCCAGGAGCCGGGCGCATGTGCAGGCCCGAGCCCCGCGTGACCTTCACGGGGGGAGCCCCGGGGCCGCCCGAGGCAGCGGTGACCTTGCCCGGAGCGGGACCGGCAACAAAGCACCGTGGTGGGGCGGGCTCCGACCGCCGCCGGGAGCTCCCTACAGGCCGCGACCGCCAGCCGGCCAAAGCCAAAGCCGCCATCCCCGCCTCCCTCCCTTCCGGGCGGCCGTGCCACTACCTCTTCGCACACGGAGCGACCGGTACCCACCACCCGGGCCGGCGGAGAGTGTCGCTCACCTTCACAGTGACAGGGCCACCCCGGGAGGGCGAGGCGAGGCACGGCACGGAGAACAAGGCGGTGTAAGGACGCCCGGACCCGCTCCGCTCCCTGCGCCGCGCCGCGCGCTCTGCGCCTCACCGCCGCGCCGCGCTCAAATACAGCCCCGCCCGCTGCGGCGCGCGGCCCGTCGCTTCCCCATTGGCTACACCGCCCGGAACGCCGCACTCCTATTGGCTGAGCTGAGGAGCTACCCGCCGCCCCGGCCCGTCCGCCCGCGCTGTTCTGCCTACATCCTGTTTCATCCCACAATGCAGCGGGGCGAGCGCGGAGAGGGGCGGGGCCTCGCGGGGGCGGGGCTACCCCGGTTCTGTGAGGGGACGGGACCCGGAGCCGCCGGGACCCCCAAGAACCGGCCCCGGGACCCCGATCCCGGGCGGGCTGATTCCTTTGGAGCGGTCTCTGCTGCCCAAGGGAGCCATGGCTCCTCTGTGGGAGTCCCCTCTGCCGTGGGGACCCCGATCCCGGGGTGACCGTGAGCCCCTGGGAGGGGCCGACTGCCTCTGGTAGACCTGATCTCCTTCGGGGTAACTGCTGAATTCTGTTCCCCGTGCAGCACTGTGATACCCTGGTTTGCATTACTGCTCTGCCTGAAGTAAAGCCGTAGTAAAGCTCAGCTTTAGTAAGTCAGCAGGTGCCAGTGCCGTCAGAGCAGGATGAAGTGCTGTGTGTCCACCACAGCATCCCTGTGGCAGGATCCTTGCGGCGGGCAGGGGCTGGCAGTCAAACCTCATGCTATCGTTGTGTGCACACCTCAGGGTGGGAGACAGCGGCGGAGGCTCATGATCATAACCACTGCGCTGGGGCTGGCAGCGAGGGAGCACCCGTCAGGATCCTGGCACACTGCTGTGATGCTGCTGCTTCGGCCCCTTGGAGCTCCGGGCACACACCTGCCCCATGGGCCTGTCTGCCATGGACACCAGGCAGCTCCTGCTTGGGTTGCTCCGTTTCACATGAGTTGAGGTGCCAAGTGAAAGGAACCACCTGAAGAAAAGCCCGGCAAAACACAGTCCCAGTTCCCTGCCGTGAGCAGTGGTGAGATGGAGACGGTGCTGCCTGCGCTCATCCGGCTCTCAACGAGACCAGTGTTAATTGCACATGTTGGCCTTGAGAACCAGGTACTGGAATCTGTCTGATGTGATTGCTCAGGGAGGACAAGCACTCAGGGGACAGGCTGGAATTCCCTCCATGGCTGTGTATTTGCCTCCCAAGCAGGCAGCCCATGAATGGGCTGGTCCTTTTTGGCTAATGAGATGGGTATTTCATGGTGTGACCTTTGCAGCCTCTGAGGTACTGGTCAAAACTCCTGCCAGCAAGTAAGATATTTACTGCTCCCAAATTTGCCTAAGCTTCAGCAGTAAGACTGCAGGAGCCAGAGAGCAGCAGAAAAAGTGAGGACTAAGGCTGCACTAAGTTTGTAAACCCAGTGCTGGTGGCACAGGACCTGCCTTCAGACAGGTAATAGGAAGGCATCAGCATCCCCTCAGACCCCAAACACATCAGGTGCATCAGTTGGGAGCGGCTGTGGCTCCCTGCTCTCTGCCTGCACCGCACACAGGAGCGGTGGACATCCCATGGCAGCACCAAGAGCTGCTTGGGCCGAGAAGTAAAGTGTCAATAAGTAAAGACACAGCCAGAGCAGAGGGTTGGGCTGCAGCCATCAAATTGCAATCTTAGGCTTACACACGGAGATCCCTCTGCATTGCTCTGAGAAAGAGCTGATGCTTTCCCTGCACCCCTGGAGCAGTGTTTTTCCTGCTTTCTCCTGCAGGTTGGCTTTCCTTGCTCCATCTGCAGGAAGGGGAGCGGGCAGTGCCCATCCTGCTGGGATGCAGGCGATGCCCTGCACCCACTGACATGCTTTGGGTCAGCACAGGCCACCCCAGCTGGGCCCCTGGCTTTGGCTGGGCTGCATGCCGGTGCTAATGCAATAACAGGCTTAGCTACAGCCCTTTATGAGCTCCCATCTCAACAACAGTGGGAGTAAATATTGTTATAGTGCTGTTTCCAGGGGCTCTGGATGGCTGGAGGGGGCTGAGGTGCTGATCTTGGGGCTGAGGAGGGGGGAAAGGTCCTGTCTGGGAAATCAGTGGGCCAAAAAGCAGGCTCCAGCATTAGTGGCTGCTTCTGTAACCCCATCCCAGATCCATCCTGCCTCCTTCCCCAAAGAGTCTGCAGCAAGAGGAGGCGGAGGAGCTGTACTGCTGCCCAGCACAGCCTGGCTGTGGCTTGGCGCTGCCCTTGGCATGTGGAGGAGCACGGCCTTGATGGAAGAAAGTGCTCCAGATGCCAGGGAGGGAGCTGCGTTCCTGAATGGTGACAAAAATCATTTATTTAGAAATTCCTCTGAGTCACTATATAAGGCACTTCACAGGGATTCACAGGAAAAGGGTCTGGCAGCGAGGAGCCGTTTGCCATCTAAGGCTCTGCTCCTCCTGCCCTGTGGCCACGCACTTCCCATGGGACACATTTCCAATCCCAGACGATTTGAAGTCAAAACCCACAGACTGCCATAAGAAATGCAGAGATCTGGGATCCAAAGGCTGGGAGTGTGGCTGCAGCATCCCACAAACTGTGCATCCATCCTGCACCTCCCCTGTAACACCCCTCACACGAGATTTTTCCTCTTATTTAATCTAAACCCACTTTGCTATAACTTAGCCCATTACTTGTGCTCTGCCCTGCCATGGACGTGGCACACAGATGTATTTTGTAGCATGGGTCTGTAGCAGACGACTGTCGAAATGTCACCTTGGTGTCCTTCCCTCGTGTCTCCTTGTGCTTCTCCAGGCTCCAGCATGAGTCACTCTCTTTTGCCAATAATCAATAAAACCAGCAGAAGTAAAGAACCTTCTTTTATTAATTCCCCTCCTCACTCTCCCCACATGTCCCAAAGGATGTGTGTGAGCACCAGGCACCCTGGAGCAGAGCCGCCACTCCACACTAAGGGAGATTTGGCCACTTCATCATATCAGCACAAACCCTCTCTGTCAGGCCCTGCCTGATGCAGCTGGAGCACGAACATCACACGCTGCGGGCACTCTTCCTGTCTGGTGACATTGCAATCACCGATAATCATCCTCCTGTGGCTGAGGCATCGAGCAGGGAGCCGGCAGCTCCTTGCAGAGATGCACTGCAAAGCAACTGCACTGAAAGGAGATGTAAGGGTGAGAGGGAAGCACTGCCAGCAGCTCAACCCGCACACAGCTCCCGCCACAGGGGAGCCTTGCAGGGTCAGACCCCTCACAAGATGCAGTATTCTCCCCTGCAAGTGACAGCCCATCCATGAGGCAGCCATGGGGTGAGCTGGATCTGCCCTTCCACAGGCTGCAGTCTCCATCCACCAGCTTTCCAGCTGCTGCAGCCACATCCTCACCTGTTATTTTGTACCAGGAGTTGATTGTTTTGGCAAGTGCTTTGCAAACTGCATGAGGGAGGGTTTGTGATCAGTCCAGGGCTGTGCTTTGATCAGTCTTGTCTGTGAAGCAGTTTTCAGCGCCCTCGTTAATGTACGTTATTGTCTCCCTGAATCCTGCTATAGAACCTGAATAAATCCCGTGGAAAAAGAAAATGCCCTACAAAAGGAAATGTAAAACTCCAGTGAGGACCTGCAATGCTGATGCTGAGGATCTGGTGACCATAAACACTCAATATAAGACCCCAAGTCCTTCAGTTTATGGTTCACAAATTTGTGAGGATAAAGTGTTTTCACTACTTGCCATCCTCTTTGAGGCACAGATCCAGTCTGGGTGCATTTCTGTCTCCCATGAGTTACTCTCACATCCCATAGGGAATGGGAATCACGTTCTCCTTGTGCCTGATGCTCCGGGCACCTCATCCATGCCTAATCTACAGACCAGAGTGCACAAAACCAGCCCTGGAGCTGTCCCCCAGGCTCCCCAGCTGGGAAGAGGGCCACTACCCATTATTGCTGCTGGGATCAGTGTGTCTCAAACCCCCAGATACATCCTTGGGCCATGCAATGCCCTGTCCCCAAAGCCACCAAGGCCCTTTGGTGTCTCCGGTGTGCACTATGCAATAGCTAGACTTGTCTACTTGTGCACTAGACAATAGCTCATGTCTCCTGTTGGATCTGCCCTGGAGCAGTGGTAGCTGCAGCGTGGCACCACGGCAGGGCAGCCTGGGCTCATCTCCAAGGCAAACGGGCTTAAAACTGTGACAAGCTGTAGATGGCTTCTTGTCTAACGTCGCTTTCCAGGAGGTAGCGCGTTCCTTGGCATCCTGCAAGCGAGGTAGGAAAAACTAATACTAAACCACTTGTGAGCCTTATTAATATGGATTCAGGTCATCCGCTTGCTGCAAGTTTTTGCAAGTGACTCGCGGTGTGCAGTTCATGCAGGAGCTGTAAATAAGAGCCTGGAATCTCAGCGGGGTCCTATCAGTAATACAACATCTGCCTTTGTGCATGCGGAGGGACGAGGGGTGATGCAGCCCAACCCTGGCTCCCACACCAGCTGGGTGCAGAGAGCTGGGAACTCGCATCAATCTGATCTGTCCCGAAGTGAAAGATGGCTTTGGAGACAACATAAACAAAGGAATCTGGTCCTACAAGGAAGTTGGTCCTACAAGGGGCCCTGCCTCCACATCAAAGGCTTCCTAAATCTCTTAAGGCTGGAAGTGCTGTTGGGATCCTCTACTGCACCCTCCTGTGAGCCACAGGGCCCACCAGTGTTGGTTTCGTGGTTGAGCAGACCACAGCATTGCTCTCGGATGAGCTGTGGGTGCCAAGGCAATGCCAGGTTGCTTTGGGGTGGCTGCAGGTTTGGGGTTTCCTCCTGCAGCACATCCACAGCAGCCTCTCTGTTTCCTCCTTCCTCCCCTGCTCTGAGGCACAGGCTTCAGCCCCATGGGGTGTCCCTGCTTCAGGAACCAACTGGGAAACCAGTGTAAATTGGTGCTCATGCATGGAATAGCTCAGCAGTCATGTGCACACTAACTGGGCATTCACCAACCCTGTGTCCATGCATGGACTAATCCTGCACTTGTGCAAGAGCTCACTGTGACTCTGTGCAGGTTCACTACAGGACCTTTTTGGTTGCTCCTGCACTGGT